TACATTTGCCTTGAGTGAGCAAAGATGTTTCAGTCAAAGACAAAAATAGAGTTGAGAGGTAAAAAACAGCAAAAAACAGTAAGACAAGTCAGCAAGGTGCCCATGATACTTTTGACCTGGGCCTGTTGCTGGTTTGGGCTACACTCCTTAGGTCCAGTCAGGGCAGCTCTTTGTGCTAAAGAATAAAATGGTATTTTGGACAATGGAGTGCTTCCAACTTTGTAATAACAGTTGGAGGAAGATCCACAAAGCCAGGTTTTCCAAATACCTTGGTGCAGAAGTTGGTCTGCACAGAGCACTACCACATCCAACACCCCTGGGATGAGCTGAGACACCACTGTGAGCCAGGTCTTATCGCATGGCATTAGTGTCCAAGCTCAGCAAAACTCTTGTTCCACAATCTTATGGAAAGCCTGAAGCCAGTAGAGTGAGGGTTGTTGTTGTAGCAGACAAATGCCCATGGTTCTGGAAAGACATGTTGAACAACCTGATTATACAGTAGGTATAATGTTCACATGGCTCATGTGCTTCTGTTCTCTTTCTTGGCACAACTCTGTTTCTTTTTTCAGCATGCAGAGTTTGTTTCTGCTCAGCCCTGCATTTACATTACATACATTACAAGTACACTAAGTATACACTAAGAGGACAGATACACAGTGTGTCATATTATACTATATACACAAATAAAAAGAAAGAACCTCATCGAGCTCACACTAAACTGCACACAATCACACCTCCAGCTAAAAGAAATCCTGCTATCACCTATTAACAGCAGACAGTTTCCCAAACAGCTTAAGGGATATTATTAAGAACTGTTGGTTGGTGCTGGGAAACATGCAGATATCGGAATTTTTAAAGTCATATTACTGCTACTGAACACTTTAATACATCTGCATATATTACTGCTAAATTTGTTTTGTTTTGACCCAAATACTTGCAAGTTTGCCTCTTACCCACTGTAGTCACCATGATTACAGTGGGCAGGTGCTTGTTTGCGTTTTGATTTTTTGTTGCTGAGGGTCTTTGAAGCATTTCAGGTGTAGTCACGAAACATATCATTAGTCTTCAATAAAGGGGTGAGATATCCTGACCCCTGCAATTACTGTCATGAATTGATCCTGCTCAGCGAACCTGACTGAGCAACATGAACCTCCCATGTGCAACCAGGTCCACATTATGTAAAAGTCCTCCCCACTTGCCAATATAATGTGTGTAATGCATAGAAAGTACATGTGAACGGATGTCCATGAGATTACAATTTACCAAAGAAATAATCCTGATATGAAAACCGCTACCAGCAACATCTGTGATGTTCAGTGTGAAAAACAACAGTTCCTTTCCTAATCAATTTCTCAATATACTAGTTGTCAGATTTGGAGCAAAGAGGAGATGATGTAACAGTGGTTGAGAGACTGTGAGTTTCTGGAAGCCATGAAGGGTCAGTGGCAGATAATTAAGATGCCAGGGTTGTTCTTGAAGTTTAAATGAGTGTTTGTAAAATGTTTGACACTTGTTCGACTATGCATCTCCACTGGAATCCATCATACCTGCTGTGAATCCAAACTGACTGCTACTGTTGTCCTCAACAAAGATGCAAGAAATGACTGCAATCTGCAAAATCCTTGAACTAAGATGTTGCAGGATAAACAGCAGAAAGCTGGTTGTGAAAAAGTGTAGCCAGATGCTGTGAATGTAAATGAGGATGCTGCCGTCCTCCCCCCTGAGTGAATACATCTAAAAAAACATGTATGAATGTTGTTCATTTGTATTCTATTTTATGTAATCCATCAGAGGGAGATATTGTGTATGAACGAGACCGCAGCTTATTCTGTTTGCATTTAATCTGCTCTGATCGCATTCTGATGGTTTAAGCTCTGTCTTCTACAAGTGAAGTAGACACGTCCCAACAAGGGGAAGAAAATATCCACTACAAATATCTCTAACAAGACTTATGTGGGAAAAGGCTGAATGGGATTAGGATATTGATTTTTATCTACTTCAATAAAGTCGTAACAGCCCACAGGGAGCACTCAAACACAAGACACAGACACACATATAGTTCCTTCCTTTTTCCTCATTTGTCTTTCACTATTTCACCATAAAAATTTAAAAGAACAAAGCAGAACAAAAGCTGAATGTTTGCAGTCAGTTTCCAGCATGTGAGGAGGCTCGGTGGTGTATTAGAAACTAAAATAATGATGCTGCTTGCTGATGACAGGCTGGCAATCTGTCCAGGGTGTTTCACTGCCTTTCACCCAGTGCATGCTGGGATAGACTTCAGAACCCACATGAAACTGAAATAGCAGCATGTCAGTGTCATGTAGGAGTAAAATACCAGTTTCCTACTTCACAACAACATTCACGTTCAGTGACCCAGATTTTTCTGTAAGCTCTCATGTATGTATGCAATTTTATGCAATCAATCTCTCACACCTGCTGTTCACGGTAATTACATGCTAAAGTCAGACATTTAGGAAGGTTTTGCTTTTTCGCTTCTGTGTTCATGCTGATTTGTGGAGTTTGCTGGAATGACAGCAGTCATTCTTCTGGGAAACATAGTCTCAGCTGCACATAAACTTGGCAAAAACAATTCTTGCTGCAACCTGAGTCTAATTATCATAGATCCAGACATCAGACCCACTAATATCACCATAGTTTATGCATCATAAAGACACCACTATAAAGCTCTACAAAGCTGTCCAGAGGAAACACAACCCTGGGCAGTGAGACTGATTTTAAACACACCCAAAGTAAATCCATTAGGCAAGACAAAAGAAAACAGTTTGTAACAGCTTTACACAACAATGCTACTGAGCTGTTTCTGATCTGATGCCTTTATTTAGGGGCATTTTTCTACACAGGCCTTCCATAATCATTGTCACTGTTAAACTATCACTCTCTTCCTTAGTTGGCAACTCTGAGAATCCTTGAGAGTGTACAACCACCATTTCAACACAGTAAATAAGATCCATCCATTTTCTGCAGCTTATCCTGAATCAGGTTACAATGGCAGCAGGTTAGCAATGTAGTAGAAAATGTAGTACTACCAAAATGATACTACCGAATCATTTCAACTGGAGAAGCAGCTCTACTATCTATCTATATAGTAAGTTCCAGAGGGGGGCCCTTCCCTAATCTGCAGCAAAAAATGTCCATCAACATTCTATGAAATGCTTTTAAATAAAATTTTGCTCCACATATATGACATGAAATACTGATCCAGCGCTATACAGTGGCAAAGATACTTCACCTCTACATTGTTGTTAAGGTTTTGAGGGACATTAAAGGAAATCTATGCAAAATGTTCTCTCAGGATGAATGCATTTTGATCCACATCACAAAAACCTGAGTGTTGCTTTACAGCAGCAATCGATTTTAATTTTTACAAAATATTGCATTCTGCCGTGAATGATTGAGAGAAGTCTCTCCTATTGGAAAATGAAATAAAAATCATTTGGAAGACTAAAAAAGTTGAAAGTGTTAATGATTTTCATGGCGATAGAGAAGTACGTTTTTCTCACACAAAGAGAAAACCAGACATGTAAACAGATGTATTTAACATTGTGTGTTTTCATTTGAAAATTACAACTTACTAGTTTGAAAACACTTACTTTTCACAGTAGATTTGCCAGTCACTCAGCAGACTAAATTCTAGTCACTTGCTGTTGCCTCAGAGGAAATTAATGGCAGGGAAGCTATGTCTGAACCTGTTGCCATTTGTCATATTTGTTACGGTGGAACACCAATCGACTGTAATAGCATCACTTATATTTATGGTGACTGGTATTGTGTGAGACCGCACATAAATCAGACTAAATAACCCACCTTTAATAGTGGAAACTTTACCTTAGGCTGATCAACTTGTATTTAATCCCTCAGTGGAAAAGTGATTGTTTCATGCTTATATTGCAAATCACATTTGGAGCTTAGGGTGGCTTTTCGTCATACACTCATACAATATGAACAGATGCCTGATGACAGCTTGATGTGATGTCAATCATGCTGCAGATGTGACTAGTGCTTAAGACAATGATAGCATCATTGTTTTCATCAGATCATTTTACTGCCGTCTGTCAGTCCCAGTGACAAAGCAGCAAAGTACTTCATGGTTGTTTAACGTATACTATATGCTGTTGTAATGTCATTTCTAGTCAATTAATTATCAATATGATAGAAAAAATAATTATTTGCTGGTCCCAGCTTCCCTAATGTCAGGATTTGTTGCTTTACTCTGTTATATATTATTGTTATAATCATGTTGGGCAAAATAAACAGTTTGAGGGCATCATTTTATAATTTTATAAAATTTAGCATTATTTATCAGTAATGGAAATAATCAGAGGCAGCATTAATTGTTTCCTTTGGAAGGGGGCGAAACCTCAGTTAAGGCAGGATTGCCAAATTAAACCTTCTACACAGCTGCTTCTCAGAAAAAGGACACCCAGTAGGTCCAGCTATCAGTAATGCTGAGCTGCGAACAAAACCACCAATATCTTGTCATTCAATGCTTCTGCAGCCGTCTTTTAATGCTGTAAATCTTTACAGACATGCACCAAATATCTCAGTAAAATGTTAAACTATGCCGACAGCATATGCTTCATTGCTGCACTATTTCAACAACCTCATAAGGAGCACAAGGAGGTCGCCTGTGAGCTCTCCATGGTGCTGAAAACTATGCAGCCCACCATGTACTCAGGCGCTCTCCATGGTCCTGACTCCACACCCCGTACAGTGGATACATTCGGCGTGTGAAAGACAACCTGCACCGGTCTGGACGGATCTTTGTGAAGTTTACTCGCTAAAATAAATAAATAAATAAATAAATGTTCTGTTGGTTTCAGATTGTCAGGTCCCGAGCAGTGGTTATTAAAGTTATACTCTACCTTTTCCCTTGAACTGACAGGATATATACGGTGCACCTATGTTTTTCTTAACACCCCCCGAGGGTCCCAGGACCGTGGTTTGAAAAATAGCACACGACGAGTATTATGACCACTCACCTGTATCGCGTGGATGCCACCCGGACGGTCCACTGTGTCGGGCGAGTTGTCAAACAGTCGGTCCCTGTACAAAGACCACAGCCCCACGTAGGGGAGGAAAAGAACTGCCGCTATGAGCAGCCCGGCGAACTGCAGCAGCCTCTTCTCCTTTCGCCTCATGTCTCCGGGAGATCGTTGGTGCAGCAGCAGCGGTGAAAACCAGCGAGTCCAGTCTCCCTGATCGTCCAACTGACAACGTTCACTCCGAGTGGGAGCACGGAGTGCGTTCAAGTTATTTGGAATACCTGGACATACGCGACGTCCCGTCGTGACTTTCAAAATAAGACACATTAGACTCGCGTTGCTTTGACAGTTCTCAAGTCCAACAAGTACAGAAATAAACAAATACAACTACTGTTGTCCGAAAAACGGCGTTTGTGGTAAATAGCAAAACTAATGCTACAATAGAATTCATCTTTAAAATACTACAAAATTATGTGACATTTGAGATCCTGGATTTCAAAGTCACAGTTGTGTTAATAATTCATAAAAATCTTATGACATTACATAAATAGATTACAAGAAATATGTGTTCAACACAGTTTTTTTCTTTTGCATTATCACATTTAAATTATTTCCAAGATTTGAAGTCGGGTGAGTCTCTGTGATCTTTTTTGCCTGTTTGCAAAGCAAATGATCCTAGTGTTTCACTGTCCACCAACATTTATCAGAATGAAGACAGACATTTAATAACTGATGTAAACACAAAATAATTGAATCAGACAAGCAGTTAACAACAGAACTTTTTTCTGGACACCAAGAAGTCATATCATGTAACAGTGAAGGATTCGTTCAACATATCTTTTATATGGCAGACTTGATGCTTTTGTTTTGAAGGGTAGCGTGCCTGTACTCCTGTGGTTTTCTGATCGTCTTTACAGCAGCTTGATACAATTTATCATTTTGAAAGAAGACTTGGCGGGATAATGCAGCAGCTCACGTCTTCTCTGAATCCACTGGTGTGAGCAAAAGCAGACACACAGTTATTAGATAGTGGTATGGAATATGTAAAAAGACAAGGCTGTGAAGCAAAATACATAAATAAATCGTTGATACACACACTGTATATTATTGAATAATTTCACAGATTATTACTTCATATATTTCCATATTTATTTAGTTATTATTGCATTTTTTCTCCCAGATGTATGCAGTTTGGAGTTCAATAAAAATAGCCTCATGGTACAAATATCTTTGGACACATGCATTATGATGCATCTTGCAAAATATGTTTTCATTTTATTTTTTTCATATGTTTATTTTTCTGTTCCTCTGAAGCATCTTGATGAAATTGTTTATTTGACCTATGGGAGCAGATTTCACAGCTCATTTCATTGACACAGAATGATGGTTCAGTAATTGCTTATCAGGGAAGTCACGGCTGGGCCTTTCTGAATGAGCTCCGCTAATGGCTTTCAGCACAGAGGAGTCGATCAGTGCTGTCAGACGATAATAATGCTGCCATTTCTTCTGCTTTGATGCTCCACAAATTACCTTGAGGATTTTTCCAACCTCTTTCTCACCAAGCAGGAGGAGATATAAAGAGTAGAATTCTCACCACATTCAGAAGTTGTAGGCTTTATCCATAATTCATGAGGGAGGACGCTGAACAGATTGAATTGTCACAACTCAGATGGGTACAGATGGAAAGAACTAAAGAGGAATGAGCTGTTCTCTCTCTCTTTCTCTCTCTGAGTGTCCACAGTAGGAAAAGACAGAGCAGGGTTAGCAGGGGGACAGACTCCAGCACATCTCAGGTTCAAGTCCAGTCTGTTAAACAATATGGCTAATCTTCAGTTAACCCACGCTCATTCCTTCTGATCTGTACATGCATGCCTGTGAAATACAAGGGCTGGAACAGATTAAACAGATGCTTGGCTGGTTTAGAATTTAGGATTTGTCCATTGTGTGTGGCAGAGGTTACAGAAAAGGACAAATCAGCTGCCACTTGAAACAATAATGAATCATGAGGCAGCCTGAGGTCAAAAAACGGTTGCAGTCAGGCTTTGCAGTAAAGTATGTGAAAATGACTTTTAAAAAATTTAAATTATGTCAATTGAAAAGCAAAAATTAATGCACAAACTCTCCTCTCTGAACTGAGCAAGCACCTGAGTGATGCCTTGGCTACAGTGTCCATTGTTCACTGGGCTAAGAGGCTTTGGTGTCTGGAGGACAATCATGTGAGTACAAAACTATACCTAAAGTGCCAACAATGTGTCTAACACTTAGGTGTATTTATTGGCATCACAGTAATTATTGTCAGTGCAAACATCTGTACATGAAATGAGCTCCTGCAGGGTGTTCACACATGATGCAAAGAGGCAGTAAGTGTCTGTCATTAGCATGGAGATGCATGGACAAAGAATATGTTTCCATGCATCTGTTTTTTATTCAAACCTTACTAGCTTTTTAAAATTCTTTATTGGAGAATTGGAAGGTGTCACAGTTTGTATCTCAGTCCAGTGCATTGTTTTCTGGACATTCATATGGACTGCCATTCCTTCATCCAGCCTCCAGATGTCCCTGCACTCCTTCCCTTCCCTTCTGTCCTCAGTCACCTGACCCTGCTCACCTGCACACCTGTTTCCATTTCGCCATCAGCTCCCTGTATACATACTGTACATACCTGGCTGTTTCATCTTGTTCTTTGCCTTATTCCCCTCCTTTGGGCTTAACTCATTTTTGGACTTTGTCTCTTCCTCACTGCCTGTCTTTTGGACTCTTCATGTTTTTTTTTGGACTTTACCTGTTTCCCCATGTTGTTTACTGTGTATTGTTTGGTTTTTACCTGGTTTAGAGTCTGACTTCACCTCCTGTTTATCTGGACTGTGAGTAAACCTTCTCTTGGTGTTATTAGTAAACTGTTCATACTTGAAGACAAGTAGAAAACTGTAGCAAATATTTTCTACATCAAGTTTTTGACCACATGTGTTCTTCTCAGTTGTGTGTGTGTGTGTGTGTGTGTAGGGCATGCATGATGTTAGATAAAGGCTCTGTGTATGTCTTCCAGCGCATCCTGTTATGTTTTAATGAGTGTCAGTAACACTATTATTCAAATGCTGTTTTACTGTTTGTGGTGTGCACATTCGGGGTGGGGTAACTACATTAAATCACTAATAGAGCCCATATGACCTGGGAAAGACACCCATAAAGAATGTCCCCTGCCCCCTTTGCTTTTGTTCTGTTGGTTATAACAAGCTTGGGGAAAAAAAGCCCCTACATATACAATATATGTGTGAAAGTGCTTCTTCTTAATGCCAAGAAAGGTCAGGAGGTGATAATTCAGCAGCAAAAGTGCCACTGCATAAGACAAGGCCGAGTGAAATAATACCAGGCATGACTGGTGAGTCAAACGCTGGAACTGAAGCAGAATTGTTTTATGGTTCCACTTTTCTATTCTCATCTGATGCTTTCTATATAATTGCTCAGCTATTCTGGCCAAATCTGTAGCACAGCAATCTATCATGTAGGCAAGTACAGGAGGGCTCCGGAAGGAGCTGTATTCCACAGAGGAAGCCATAAAACCTCTGCATGCATTAAACAGACTGCTTTGTGTGAAATTGGCTGTCATCTTTTGAACTAGCTGAATGTTTGCCAGAAATGTTTTCTCAGCCAGCTCTGGTATTATGGTGCCACCATATCTGGAATCAGCTACACAAGAGCAAAAACCAATTTAAAGTTTGATCCAAACTCTGGATGCCAGACTGTTGCTACTGTATTATTTGATGTTTTGTTTTTAGCCTCGAGAAGCAACATGTCTGTCTTTAGTTTGGGAATAGACTCTTTTTAAAGAGGCACTGTGATAAATGATGGAAACTACATGACAAAGCAGGCCGAGGGACATTGAAACCCTAGCCCTAACAATGTTATGGCATGTGACCACTCCTGGAATGCACTGGAAGTCACAGATTAAGACCATATTTGTCACTTTTATTCATTTATGCTTTTTAGATTGTCTTCCTGTTGAACCAGTTGGTGGGTTGTGGAAGTCAAATCAAACACTTTGTGTTGATTGTGATGGGTTCTGCTTGTTTTGTGTATACTGTAATTTAATGAGGCACCATCAGTATTTCCTCAGACTCATGGTGTACCTGGCAGGGAAAGAAGGATCAGGTTATTATGTTCCTAGCGCTGTTCTGGACCAGGACTCTCTGTTCCCACTGGTCTTCCTACATTCCTTACATTATTTTAACTCCTGTTTATTACCTTAAGTGCTTTGAGAGTTTTGCTACTTTGCTTAGAAGTATCCCAGACACTGACAGGTGGTCATGTACCCATTTTCCCCAACACAACTTCAGTTGTTCTTAAGCTTGTCTAAGACAAATCCCAGCTGTGGGACAAACCGTCATCCCAGCTTCAAATCTGTGCCTAGTTTCAGACATCTGTCTCTTGTTGGTTTTTATTGCTCTTTGTGCCAGTTCTACAGTTTTTAATGTGCTTCTCTCTCTGCAGTGATGCACATCACCACCCTCAGTTATTCTATTTATTGCAGACTTGTTATTGCATATGATTGTGGGCTTGTGGCTCTGTTTTGTTATCTCTCATCTTGGTACTAAAGGCTCAGCCAGTGTTTCCAGTGAATATTTTATTACAGAGAGATTGTCACATTCTGATTGTTGCAGTTAACCCTTGTTTCTCTATTTAAAACCTTCTGACTTTGGTAATACCTGACTTTTCCTCTGGCATCACCAGCAGACTGACATTCGTGACTCTGAGTGAAATGTCAGCTGTTGAATGTCTGTCTATACAAAATGGAGCCGACACAGGTGATCCTGGGTGAACTTAGGTGATCCCCTGACTTTTCATTGAAATAAAAATGCAGTCGTTCTCCCACAGAGAGTCTGCAGTATTTAATTATGTAATAAGTTGTTGCCCTTCTGCTGCTTCTCTGAAAGATTCTGCTGTCACATTTTCAACAAGATTTCCAACCTTATTAAAAGAGTGATATCATATTTATTTATTTATTTATTGTGACTTGCAGCACAGGGGTTTGATGTGTGGTTGTGTTTTACAGCTGTCAACATTTTTGACAAAACAACTGGGACGTTGGACAACACAGATAGCTATGTAGAAGATACAAACCCTCACTGGGCAGATGAAGCTGACAGCAATGTGCTCAGACACACTTAAGTTGGAATGTTCAGCTTCAGTCAAGCTTTTTGAATGTGTTACTCTTACAAATTAAAACTGGTGCATT